TGCTGCTATTCTTTTCTTCAATCTCCTGTTGAGTTCGTAGGTGTTCAGAATGGTTTGATTCCTATCTAGCTGAATTCTATCTTCCTTTTTTGAGGCATCAATTAGCAGCATCTTTCAAGTTTCTGAACAGAAATTTGTGAATGACAGCTCCATCTTCCATGCTGGTTTGTAGTGGGTCGTCAGAGTTGGGCAGGCACCCTCTTATTATAATCAAAGAGAAATGTTAGCATAACTTAAATCTAGGACAAATAGCTCAATGAAAATATGGTTATAACCAATTTTAATACTTAGATATTAAAAAAACATGAGTCAGAAAATAATTGGGTGAAAATTAGTCCCATTATGTCACAGTTATAGCATGGAAATCTGAGTCCTGTTATGATATTTAAATTAGTAGCCAAGGATGTAATCCTTATTACCATGCACAGGAAGAATATGTTGGTTTTGTCAGATATTTAGAACAAGGACTTCTATATGTATCAGGTTTTGTGCTGGGTATTGCTAAAGCAAAAATGAATAGAGTATTTTCTGCCTTTGGGGAACTCACATACTAATGTGTGACAGAAACAATACCTTTATAAAATGTGAGTAGTGTTATAATAGAAAAATATAAAAACTAGAGTCAGGTAGGTAAAACCTTGATACCACTAACCTGGAGAGGGAGGAGTGGTGTAGTGAATGGATGTGTTACAGAGGGGGGGAAAACAATGCAAGTTATCTCCCACTCAAAATGAACCTGAAAACACACATTCCAAAACTTATAAAGAAATCTAATGGTAAGAAAGGCAACCAATAGATCAATAATTGTGGCAGAAAGCATATATGTAAAATTAGGAAAAAATAAAACAGCTAAAGGGTGTTTATAAGATGAAGCAGAACAGCAAGTTGAAAATAAAGGAAACCAAAAAGATACACCTTTCTATTACTTACTTTCTATTACTTTCTGCAATCTTAATATTAGACCAGCTGGAACCTGGGGAAAAAGAAAAAAATCTAAGGAAAATTAAATTACCAAGTTGTCTAAAACATCAGTGCTGATACAGAAAGATGAAAACAAAGATCTACCAAGAAAATACTACAATCATGACTTTGTGTGCACCTATTCACATAGCTTCAAAACATAAGAAACTAAAAATGATAGTATTCAATGATGTAATCATACTAGAAACTGGTACATCAAGCAGTAACACGTTAGTAAGTATGAAATTTAACAAAGTTAAGTAACAATCTAAAGGACATATATAAAATAATGACTATATACTCTATTTTCAACTTTTTGAGGAACCTCCACACTGTTTTCCATAGTGGCTGTACCAGCTTGCATTCCCACCAACAGTGTAAAAGGGTTCCCCTTTCTCAACATCCTTGACAACATTTGTCCTTTCCTGAGTGGTTAATTTTAGCCATTCTGACTGGTGTGAGGTAGTATCTCATTGTGGCTTTCATTTGGATTACCCTGATCCCGAGTGATGTTGATCATTTTTACATGTGTCTGTCGGCTATTTGGTTGTCTCCTTTGCAGAAATGTCTGTTGATGTCTTCTGCCCATTTATTGACTGGATTATTTGTTCTTTGGGGGTTGAGTTTCAGAAATTCTTTACAGATTTTGGATACTAGACCCTTATCTGATAAGACATTTGCAAATATCTTCTCCCATTCTGTTGGTAGTCTTTTGGTTTTGTCAACTGTTTTCTTTGCTGTACAAAAGCTTTTTATCTTGATGAAGTCCCAATATTAATTTTTAGTTTTGTTTCCCTTGCCTTTGAAGATGTGTCTAGCAAGAAGTCACTGCAGCTGAGGTTGAAGAGGTTACTGCCTGTGTTCTCTAGGATTTTGATGGATTCCTATTTCACATTTAGGTCTTTCATCCATTTTGAGTCTATTTGTGTTTATGATGTGAGGAAATGGTCCAGTTTCATTCTTCTGCATGTGGCTGTCCAATTTTCCCAACACCATTTGTTGAAGAGCCTGTCCTTTTTCCATTGGATATTCATTCCTGCTTTGTTGAAGATGAGTTGACCATAGAGTTGAGGGTCCATTTCTGGGTTCTGTATTCTGTTCCACTGGTCTGTTTTTGTGCCAGTACCATACTGTCTTGATGATTACAGCTTTGAATAGAGCTTGAAGTCTGGGATTGTGATGCCACCAGTTTTGCTTTTTTTGTCAACATTCCTTTGGCTATTCAGGGTCTTTTCTGGTTCCATACAAATTTTAGGATTATTTGTTCCAGCTCTGTGAAAAAAAGTTGATGGTATTTTTATAGGGATTGCATTGAATGTATAGATCACTCTAGGTAGCATAGACATTTTAACAATATTTGTTCTTCCAATCCATGAGCATGGAACATTTTTGCATTTCTTTGTGTCTTCCTCAGTTTCTTTCATGAGCATTCTATCGTTTTCTGAGTACAGATCCTTTGCCTCTTTGGTTAGGTTTATTCCTAGGTATCTTATGGTTTTGGGTGCTACCCTACCACCCAGCAATTGTACTACTAGGGATTTACCCCAAGGGTACAAATGTAGTGATCCAAAAGGGCACCTGCACCCCAATGTTTATGGCAGCAGTGTCCAAAATAGCCAAAATAGCCAAAATATGGAAAGAGCCCAGATGTCCATTGACAGATGAATGGATAAAGAAAGTGTGATCTATCTATCTATCTATATAGATATATATAGATAGATATATAGATATATAGATATACCTACACACACACACACACACACACACATACACACACACGGTGGAATACTACTCAGCCATCAAAAAAGTGAAATCTTGCCATTTGCAATGACATGGATGGAACTAGAGGATATTATGCTAAGCAAAATAAATCAATCAGAGAAAGACAATCATCATATGATATCACTCATATGTGGAATTTAAAAAACAAAACAGAGGATCATAGGGGAAGAGAGGAAAAATAAACAAGACAAAACCAGAAAGGTAGAGAAATCATAAGAGACTCTTAATCATAGGAAACAAACTGAGGGTTACTGGAAGGGAGGAGGAGGGGGGATAGGGTAACTGGGTGATGGATATTAAGGAGAGCATGGATGTAATGAGCACTGGGTACTATATAAGACTGATGAATCACTGACCTCTACCTCTGAAACTAATAATACATTATATGTTAATTAATTGAATTTAAATTAAAAATAATATAAATGCAATTTAAATGTTTTCCTAAAAATGTAAATTAAAAAATGCAAAAATAAAAATTATTTTAAATGTAAAAAAATAAAATAAAATGACTATATGCAGTAAATGGAGAATATTTACTACTCTCAAATACACAGAAAGCTATTTCCAAAAACACTTTTAAAGAATGAATAAAAATGAAACATTTTCTCTTGACAATACGGTGGGTTTAGAAATAAACTAAAAGATATCTTTAAACATTTATATATTTGGAAAAAGAAAAGCATCTTTAATTCAAATATTCAAGAAATGTCATAATGGCAGTTAACAAAATACTTTGAAATAAATGACAATAAGAATAATCCTAAAGTAAGTAAAAGGAAAAACAATAAAACAATACAGAAAATAAGGAAATATAAAATCAAGAAACAAAGAGAAGAACAAATAGTTCTTTGACAGATCTAATATAATAGGGAAACCCCTAACAAAACTAATCAAGACAAGAGAAAAGCATAAGTAAATAACACTTGCAACGTAAAGGAGCCATAACCAGGTGCACTAAGTAGTTAGAAAGAACCACGATGGCATACTAAAATCAATGTTTTGAATATATTTGAAACTAGCTGACATAAGTAATTTTGTGTGGTTTAAGCTGGTAAAACCAATAGCTACTAAATAAATTGAAACGGGGTGGAACCATGATTTGATTCATGACAAACTGAGTCTATAAAATGGCAAAACAGTTCACATTAATAGATGTTACAAAAATAGAATTTAAATCTAGCTTTTGAATCAATAAATAATATCGATACAATATCACGAAGTCACTAATTTCCCCTCATTGCCCATGATTGCCCCATCTGTCTTTTATCATTCTCACTGGAATTTCTAACTCGCCGTCCATAAATTTCTGTAGTGTATGTCCTTTCCCATAGGGCTTCAGTAATTCACAGAGCTCTTCCTCCTGAGCTCTTCCCGTGGCTCTGCTTTGTATCATTGTGTCTGTGGTTATGACCAGTTCCCTCAGCTGGCTTGCAGCCTGGCTGCAGTGACCCCCCCGCCCCCGCAACCCCCACGGAACCTAGCGCGGTGCTTTCCCCAGTGTGAGATCATAGGGAAGGCTGAGGGGATGCGTGGTCATCACCTTCCACCCTGCAGAAACCAGCAGTCATAAGACATGACCTTACAGAGTCCGTCCCTGCTGCCTGTAGCCCTGGTTGGCACTCTGACGTGCTGAAGGGCAGACAGGCAAAGAGCTTCACCTCCCTCTGTTGTGCCCACAGCTCAGGTTTCAGCCTTCTAAATATAAGGTGTGCTCAGGAGTCCCAGAGCACAACCGCGTTCACTGCAGAGTGCTCCTGGCCTGTAGAACTCGGTCCCTCCTGGATCACGTCCACACTTTGAGTGTGTGTTTTCTGAGGAAAGCTTAGAACACGTTTGTTTAAAAGAACAAATTGGAGAAAACAAATAGGTGAGAAACTATATCATGGCTGTGTTAACACTTTTTCTCCGACTGACCTTTAGGTTTACTTCAGCTGGAACAAGTTGTGGGCATTGTTTGTAGTTGGATAGTTGGATATATTTTTTTCTTGCTTTTCCAAATAAATATACACATTGATTGCATTTTTTGGTTTATTGTAGTATATCTGATTACAATTTGTGTAAGCTTTTCAATTCTTTCTATTGTATATTTATTACATGGTAAATTATGCTGCTTTGCAAAAAATATATGTGTATATTTTCCATATATATATATGGAAACAGAAAAGGAAACTCCATGCAATTAACAACCTCTCTTTCCCTGTCACTGTTCCCAGATTGCTGTTCGCAGTCTCTCTGGCTCTTGTTCACAGGGAAAACAATGGCATCAGTGCCTTCCATTGGTTGCCTGCTGGCCAAAAATCAGTATTATCGAAGTAAGTTGTTATCATCACTAGAGTACTATATTCCTAGAGAATGTGACTTGAGGTGATGTTTGGGAGATATTATTAACCTACATATCGTGTCCTGGTCAGAACTTAAGGGACAAGACTTGACAATTGTCTGTGACAGTGAAGAAAATAGGAATAGAACTCATTCAGACCTCTTTTAATCAATATAGTTAAGGCTTATCTCTTTGTTTTAACTCTGTTATATCATATTGATGAAACCATTAACACTTATAAATAAGTGAAAATAAGCTTACATTTCATAACTATGTTTTAATTTCATGTATCTTGCATTTAATGAGATACTATTAAAAGCTGATAATTTTACATAAAGAAAATGCTATTTATTTCTTACAAAAGAAGGGATAACATGACTGTTTCAAGGATTCTTTAATTTCCATTTTTTCTTGGATAATAGGTCAGCTTCTATTTGCCAGTTTTATTTTTATTTATCTATCCACCTGTGAATATTCATAGCTGAATAAAAAGTTGTAGCTTCTTAAAGAAAATTTGGAAATTTCATAGAATGAAACAATCATTCAGAAATAAATTATCATCCATTGAAAATATGCCCACATGTCGAAAATTCTAATTTCAAGTTTTCTTTGTAGATAAAAGTTGGAAATGTCTATTGATTTATTCTTTTTATAAAATTGTTAAACTATTTTCATTTACTTAGTGTTATTATATCCATAGAAGTTGTTTTTATATTCTGATAATTTAAAAGACTTATAGGTTTAAAATACAAGTATGATAAAACAAAATAAAATGTTTATTCTTTAAAAATAATTCCTTTATTTCTAAATTTGTAACTTTTGTAGAATATTTAAATATATGCACATGTAATATTTCTAATGTAATACAATAATATTCATTCTTGATTTTGTACTAAGATTTTGAATTTGGTGATATTTATGTTTTAAATTCTACATCTATATCTATGGAGAGAGATAGAGTTGTCCACCATGGAAAGAAATATATCTTATTAATAGAAAATGTAAGAGTGTGCTAGGAGACCATTGCTCTTCCAAGTAGCTTTCTTCCAGTCTTGGTCCAGTGGTTGGCATGGCCCACAGAAATCAGCAAGAACTTGCCCACCAGAAAAACATGAAGAAATCCCATGAAATTAGGAAGGGAAAAAGAAAGGAGGGTAGCTTGACTACCTCTCAGAGAAAGCAGAGGGACTCTGAAATAATGCAGCAAAAACAGAAGACAGCTAATGAGAAGAATGATGACTATTTGGAAAACCTGGGTGCTATTTGCCAACTAGGTGTATCATAAGCTCTATGATCAAAATTTTGTGGAGCAAACAGTCATGTATCATGACATATCTTTTAAAAATTATCTTAAACTTAAAAAAAGAACATGTAATATGCGTTTTTCCAAAAGACTTTTTAATTGACAATTTAATCCATTTTTCAATTCATGAAGTCATGATCTAGGAGTTTCAAACCATGCTACCTTGCTAGTTGGGAGTTTATGCATAAACAATATGTCTGTGTTTGTTTGCCCATTATTTATTTGTTTATTGATTCTCATTTGTTTCCTACAGAGGCCAGTATTTCTTCAGTTAGCTCTTTAACTGATTCTGTTAACATCATACCTGATGACAAATCCCAACAAGGTATTTGGTTTATTTCTTACCAGCATCACCCTCATTATTTTCTTTGTTTCTAATCTTCCAAATGTGTTTGAGAAGGGGGTAATATGACTTTTATTTGATAGGGTTACCAAAAGTGGAAGAATCCAGCTGGTGGTTTAAATCCTTTTTCCATTCTGAACCTGTGCTTTCAGTTGTGAGAGGAAAAGATCTGTCGGCTAGTGGGTATGTTTTAGTTTTTCTCTCATAAAGATATTTCCTTATCAGAATGAAACAATATAGGTAGTAATTACTATGTTAAACATAAGGGATAAAACACAGTTGTTTCTTGAGGGTGGTGAAGACTTTAATATAAAGCATACTTGAGGGATTGAGATGGAGAAGACATTTGCTCCCCCATTTTGTTAACTATCAGTCAAATCATGAGCACTCTTTCTAATTCTGTCACTAAAGAGAAATTGAAAGTCACGTGCCAATATTTATCATTGTTTGGGGGAAATGGATTGGGAATCAGAGGCAAAGTTCTAAATTTGTTTTTCCAGTACTTTCAGGAAACAAATAACAATTATCTACTCTAATAAAAGGAAACATGGCTCCTTGGAGAAATAGCCAGCTCCAGGACAGGGAAGGGAAAGAAAAAAAAAAAAAAGCCTGGACCATCTTATGGTGTGAAAGAGAAAGAAAAGCTCAAAAAGTGATGGAGATATGTCAAAATGACATAGGACCCAAATGGCCAAATCTGGGACAATTTCAGCAACAAAATAATGACAGTAACAGATAATTGCCCATTGAATAAAATAAAACCTGTTAATTATTATTGATATAAATAAATGAATAAACAAATGAGAGAGAAGGGAAAGCTCTTTATTGCAGTATTCTAATAAATGTAGAAGGAATGATGGAAATAGAGAATTACCACTTCACATATATTACAGTAATAATTGTTCCAGGCAAGGATTATCAATGGGTGCTAAAATAAATGGGGACAAGTATGAGAAATGAGTTCTTCTAAGAGTGTCTCCCCATAAATATTTATTAATTAAATGGGGAAAATAGTAATTTTCCAATGGAGAAAACTATCAGATACCACCCTAACAAAAACAAACAGAAAACAATTATTTAGGCCCTAGACAACCTACTTTAGTCCCACTCTGGCTTTGATTGGCCTCTGTATGGTGCCAATTACTACATAGAAGACTGTATTGGTGGATTTTCATACAAGTGTTTCTACATATTTTGAACCCTAACACACTTAATAGCACAGTTGTTATTCTAATGGTTTCTAAAATACTTATTTTGTTTTTTTAGAAACTTAACTAATGACTAGTTACTAAGTAGAATAAAAAGAATAAATAATAATGGATTGCATAGATCCTAATGTTAAAACATAACATAAAACAATGTTTTTTTTTTTAATTTTATTATGTTATGTTAATCACCATACATTACATCATTAGTTTTTGATGTAGTGATCCATGAGCGCTGGGTGTTATATGAAAACATAAGGGCTTTAATGAATTTTTTACATATATAAATTTGAAATAGAATCAATTAAATATGGATACTTTTAAAAATCAAAGAGAAAAAAATCAAAGTGAGGTTAATTGTTGAAAACATGTATTCTTTATCAAGTATATTAATTTGAGTTATCTAGGTAACTTTCACTTATTTTTCACTTTACTTTGACTATAAAGACAACTTACAGCTAAACGTTTCTCAGCTAACTATTTGTGTATGACGGTTCAATGAACATTGTTGTAATAGCTAATTATTTTATACAGCACTAATAGTTGACAATCAAGAAGATTCTACCTGCCGAGGTGCTATGTTTGTGAACCACACTTTTTAGTACTAAGCTATTCCAGATGACCTTTCTTCATTATAAGAAGACAGAAACCTGCTGGAGAACCCATTTATGAGATAGGATCTCTGCAGCCACCCATCCAGCAGAAGATTAGGCATTTCCCTCATTACACAGACTGTTGCTGCAAGTGACATCAGCAGCATGGAGAATATTGGAAAAGTATGCCTTTGAAAACATGTGCCTTTTTAAAATAATAAGAGTCTTCAAATGTAATGATTTGTATGAAGTAGCTTTTTCTATACACATTATTTTTCAAAAAGTTTTCAAAAGTTTCTAATTGATATTTTCAGAAAATTGTCAGGCTCTCTATATGCCTGTTGAATGATTTATTATACCTAAAAAGTGAAACATTGATACCTAAGAATGGTTTAAAGGTCATCGATTTCAGAAATGTAGAGAGCAGTTGCAAAATTGTATTTTTAATCATGAGCATTGGAAATAAAATACATCCCCATAAATATATTACCTGTTAAAATATATTCCTGTATAATGTATAGGAATACATTATACATTATATTATATTCCTATATAATTTGTTATTTGTAGACTTTAAAATTCATGATTTTAAAAAATATTTAACAATATAAAATAATCTATATATGGTGTGATTTTAGTTGTGCTAGATATGTATGTATTCATAATAATAGACTGAGAAGAAATACACCAAAATGGTAATAGTGACTATTTCTGGAGAAAGAATTATGGATGATTTTCATTTTCTTCTTTATCTTTTTTTCTGTATCTTTTCAAATTTTCTAATATGATGTTTTTGTGTATAATTAGAAAACAATAGATGTTATAATAAAAAGAAGCACTGGACACATTCTGTGAGCCAACCTACATTGGCTAGAATATTCCCTTCTTTCCTCAATATGGGGTAGATAGTACTAAATGAGTTTCAGTTGAAAAGTTTCTGTATACTGCTTGCAAATATTTTTCAATGAAGATGTAAGGCTTTCAAAATTAGGGATGGTGAATTCACTCAGGTTGATGTCACTAGTCTTATGTGACTATTGTTGCATTAAACATCCAGGAGAACACACATGGTTGTTAGTAAGGCTGTCTTCTTACCCAGCTGTATCAGGACTAACCATTTACGGTGATGGACACAACTGACCAATTATTTACTACTCTTTCCAAATGGGACATACATTCCTTCAATTTTGTGTTTTTCTATCACTTTGCTGTCAGTGAAGACACTCATATATCATGTTGGCCCAATAGTACATCATTATTTACATGCTGCTGCTCTTCTGGTGGTTGCTTGCATTTGTACTTTTAATAAATTTGTAGAGGCTGATTAAATTTTTGGACTATATATCTCATTTGGCTTTAACATAAAATTAAATTACAGTGATGGAAGACTTTTTTTTTCTAAAGTGAGAGAAAAATATGCTGAAACAAATATGGTAAATTATGGGAGGTTTTGTTTTTCTCTTTAAGATTATCAACAAATTCCTTTTTCTTAGCCACTTGGTATATGTGTGAACAGATTGCTTCTTTAGGTTATTTGTTGTGTTTCCCCAAATAGGTTATCAAGTTGATATTTACTTTGTTTACTCAGAAAGATAGGATTTATTAAATTATACCTTTTCCTTATGTATTTGTATATTTTGAATGTGTCAAAAGTATTGCTTTTATAGTAGTTTAGACTAGTGTTACTGTTGATGAAAGTTATTGTTTAAAGTAGTTGGATTTTACATAAGATTTTTAGTCAAACATAATGAGCATAAATAGAATTTTAGAGTGGCTAATACACACATATATATATGTGAGACTAGATGATGGATGGATGACTAGATAGATGGATGATAGACGATAGATAGATGATAGATGATAGGTAGATAGATGTATCGATAGATGATAGATGATAGGGATCCTGAAAAAAAATATATAAGGAATCTTTCAGAAAAGTGAATTTTTAAAAAATTGAAAGCATTCTTGTGTGCTATCCCAGAATTTGTACAGAGTGAGGATGATATAAAGAGAGAACAAAATGTCTTCTAGATAAATTCTAGTTAATTGCTTCTAATGTAGTTTTCCTATAGTTCAGACACTTTGGGGCTGCATTTAAAAAGTACTTCACACATATATCTCAGCATTACTGTGTTATTTTAGTTCAAACATCCCCTGCCTGGCTTTGTTGCCTATTGGCTAGATAACAAATAGCGGAGGCTAAATATATTACAGGGGTGCTATAACTCCATATGTCTTGAGATGTGCTATATAATCACTCTAATTTAATATTATGAAATGTTATTAGACTTGGCTGGGATGTCTGTAGTAAATGCAACTAAGTTTTGACTATTTCTGCTCAGGTTCTGTGAAATTATATGTTAAGGTTCCACTAATTTTTTGAGATATGATTTTTTTTAAAGATTTTATTTGTCAGAGAGGGAGCGCACACAAGCAGGGAGAGCGGCAGACAGAGGGAGAAGCAGGCCCCTTAGCCCAATGTGGGACTCAATCCCAAGACCCTGGGATCATGACCTGAGCCGAAAGCAGAAGCTTAACTGACTGAGCCATCCAGCTGTCCTGAAATATGATTTTGATAGCAGGTTCCCAGTTATTGAACCCACATTTTTTATAGATAAAACCACCAACAGCCAATTCATCAATTCTCACTAGAGTCAAAGTCCTCTAGCTGGATTTTAGGTCTACTTGGTGCTTTATAGATTATGCAGAAGTTTAGGTTGTAGGAAATAAAATTCAGGTATTCCATTTGCCTATTAAAAAGTGATAATGGAAAATAATTGTTTAAGTCAAATGGAGTAGCTAAACTTCTCACTCATAGAAATTTAAAAAATGTAGGGTCATAATTTATCCATCCTCCCAATGACATCCTCCAAACCCAGCTCATGATCGGCTAGCTCACAATATCTCCTTGTTTTTTCTCCTTTCTCAGAAAATGGTGACACATTCATCAGCTCAAATAAGTTTGTTATCTGTGATATTTGTCTTTATATTCAAGCCAACACCAAGTCCTTTTGATTTTATTTTTTATATATTTTTTTGATCTACCTACTTATTTGCTTTCCCACAAGCACTACCTGAACCCAGACTTTTATCATTTCTCCTGAGGAAAATGGCCATGACATCCTAAATGGTCTACTGCACCATTTTTTAGATCTCTCCAATTGAATGTCTTCTACAGATCAATCATAATCATCTTAACAAAACACAGATTTGATTATACTCCCCTGTGAGCACACACACACACCCCAACACACTAGCACACCCACAATATTCAATAATTCCATTATACTCCGGTTAAACTCACAACTTACACAAATCTCCACACAAATCAAGCCCATGCGGATCTCCATAATCTATTCTTGTATCTCCCTTTCCAAAGCGTCTGTGTTCCAGCTGTGTCAGCTCTCTTTCAGTTTCTCATATACATCAGGCTTCTCTCCTGTCATGTAGTCTTTCCACAGGCTGTTTCCTCAGCTTGGACTCTCTTCACTTAATTAATGTCTACTCATCTTTTAAATGTTGGCTCAAAATCTCTTCCTCAGAGAAAACTTCTATCTACTTAATAAATTAGATTTTTCATTACAGTCTCTCATAACCCATTTTCTCTCCTCTCTAGCTCTTGTCACAGTTATAATCTTACATTTGTTTGCCTAGGTGTTTGTTTTCTCTGCTGCACTATTAATACACTTTCCCCACTGTGTCATAAACTACATGAGGGCAAGGATCAGGTCTGCTCTACTCAACATTTTATACTCAGCTTCTGACATATCAACAGATATTTGTCAAAAGAATGACAATGGTTCTTTAGCTAGAGCTGGCCCCTCTCTCAAGAAGTGTTATGTTTTGGCAAAGAAGAGTAAACACTAAATCAATAAAGACAACCTTTCCCAACAGTGGCAAGCACTGTAAAGGAAATGATGTACTTCAGTTGGAGAGTGATTGAGGTAAGACAAAGGTTGAGGAAGGGCTGCTTGAACTGGTGTAGTTAGGAAAGCCTCACTGAGAAGTGGGCAAGGACTGAATCCTAAAAGAGGGGAAGCAGCCAGTTTTGTGAAAAACACTCTAGTCAGAAAAAATAGGCAGTGCAATTTACCACGTTCTACATAGTATATCTAGTTTCCTGTTACACTATTTTCAAGAGACAGCTGCTTTAGAAGAATTTGGTATTTTCTAGAAATAGCTGCTTTAGGAGAATTTGGTATTTTTTATATAGGGGTCAAATTGTCTACTGTGTTTCTTTCCAACTAAAACTAGGATAAGAAATGGTCTGGTCAGGTTTGGGGTTATGTACTTTTTTTTTCTTTTTTTTTTTTTTAAAGATTATTTATTTATTTATTTGACAAAGGGAGACACAGCAAGAGAGGGAATGCAGCGGGGGAGTGGGAGAGGGAGAAGCAAGCTTTCCGCTAAGCAAGGAGCCGGACGTGGGGCCTGACCCCAGGACCATGGGCTCATGACCTGAGTGGAAAGCAGAAATTTAACTGACTGAGCCACCCAGGCACCCCTGTACTTTTTTCTTAAAATCCCTCAGTGTGACCTATAAATTGTCCAAAATCACACTGCATAGCAACATTCATGTAAAGTCACCAGACATATCCCACAGCTCTTCTGAATGCCTTGAATCCTGCGGGGCACAGCCTCATGAGCGGCTCCAGTCCCCCCCAAAAAAATAATAAGAAGAATTTTCTAAACTACAAGGTAAGTTTTATCTGGTCATTTTTTCCCCACCTCTCATACCAAATGGATAAAAATATTGCCATTATTTTAAAGATTCTTTTCGAGTTTCATTTAAAAAAAATCTTCTTATAAAAACAAAACAAAACCAAAAAAATAAAAAATAAACTAGTGAAAGAGAATGCTACATAGTTACTCTCCTTCCTCAATAGTTTAGAAAGAGTGTATTTCAGTTTGGGTGTCTGAAAAATATTCTCCTGTTACAGTATAATTATCTGGTTTCCAAAAGGTAGAGGGGGAGAAAGGTATGTGATTCTAATATGTGCTTCAAATAACTTTCTTTCAACCTTTTAGTACATTTTAATTAAATTCATTTTAGCCAAATATGTATTTCAGCTAGTCAGGAAAAATGATTCATATTTTTTAGTTATAGTTTTATCTAAATAGGTCAGATATAAAAGTTTTGCTTCATCATTTTTAATTAGATAGATTGAAATTTATTTGGGTACAGGTTGTAAACCCAAACTACGTTAAATCATTTGCATTATACTAATTATTTGATTAACAGCCAACTGGAATGTAAGCTTCATAAATATTTTATCCTTTTTACATGCCTAGCAGAGGTTTTCAAATCAATGAATGAACAGTTAATGGAACTATTATTTATATGTCAACTGACTACAAAGGTTGGGATTTTGAAATTCCTTTGCAAGGAAGAGTGACCAATGTTTTATTTTCAAATAAACTACCTTTGAAAATATTTATGCAATCTTAAAAAACACATTTAGAGAACTATCCATCTTTAAATTTCAAGCTGAATTTTACCATGAACAGAGAAGACAGACAAAGCTCATAAAGTAAACTGATAATATTACTTTTTCTTAGTCATCCTAG